TGTGCGTGCATTTTCTGTCTTTAAACACATTCACATTAGCCACTCTGGTCTGCAGCTAGTTCACTACCATCTGCCTTAAAAGGTGCCTGCGATTAGCTACAGAGCAGCTCATGGTTCTGTAAACTTTTTCCCTGGTAGTTCAACCCTCCCTCTTTTCCCACCCCTCATAGAAGAGCTATTAACCATGCTTGAGAGACCCCTCTTATTTAAGCATGAGCCTTTCACTTTCCACATAGTTAGTGCTGGGATCCCACTCTAATCTCCGAACTCCTGGAATGCTTGGCTACTGACACACCATTCCCTGCTCACCCTCACTCAACCACACATTTAAAGAATGTGCTGGCCTTTTGTAAAGGTTTTTATTATTATTATTTCTGTCTCCATAACATAATTGCACCTTTCAAACTGATTGATCTATTTAGAAAGGGGTAACAGAAGTGTCTTTCATGTTCTGTTCCATCATACCAAATACAGCGGCAGAAGCCTCAGGTAAAACACAGTGCTAACTTCAAGAGGCCATGTGTGAAAAATTCTTTCAATTTATGTTTGTATGAAATTTTCCTGATCTCTAGTACTTGGGAAGAAAAGCAAAAACTGTTGAAGGTTTTGAAACAAACATACAAACAAACTGAAACAAGAAAGTTCAAGTCTGTTTGCACACACTGTTGTGTGCATTTATTCACTCAGATTCCGCAGTTCAGCATCTCCATTGTGGTCTTTCACAGATGTCAGTTAAATTTATCTGTATCAGCCTTGTCTTTAACAATGCACCTGGTAGCCATGGGCAATCAGGAATGCCATGCCAACAAGTGAGCCTTGGGGAGATGGATAGATCACTCCATTCCTCATGCATAAGGCTGTTTAGCTTCTGTGCCAGCTGAGGAGTATGGAAATTCAGTGGAGGACATGGAGCAGAAAAAGTCGTCTGCTAGTCATGGAAGAAGTCAAATTTCCAGCATGGTAGTACACGCCAATAGCCTGTTTGAAGAATGGGATATAGTTTGCTAGGGTAGCTACTTAAAAAACAAAACAAAAAACAGAAGCTTGTATACAAGGTTGATCTATCGTCTCAGGAATGGAAGAAAAGTAGTTTCATTTTATAAAAATCCTCTCAACTGCAAATTCTTTGGGGCAAGAACTTTCTAAAATTCTTATAAAACTATTTATATTATCATGTATATTGATAGCATTGTAAACAACTACAGTGCAGGTTTATGCATTTATGAATGGAAAAGATTAATAATTAAAAGAAAGCATAATTAAATATATCTAATGTATATTTATGCACAGAACTTTTACAGAAATAAATTGACTTAAGGGAAGGATGGGATGGAAATTCATTTGATTTACATTTTAGTGCAATTTACCTTATTTTGTATTTCCCAATTTCTATGTTGTAAAACAAAAGAAAGGAAGAAAGCTGATCACATTAATTATCCTTTAAAATCTGCACTCTTTTAAATTTTGCGACACCATTAAATGTAAAATGTGCATATAAAAATGCTCACCAAATTGTGGAAATTGCATACAAAATTCACATACAAGTATAGAATTGCATAAAAATGCACGCAAATGTTTGTGTGCACTTTTAAAAAGAAATACTTCAAGCTGCTATGGAAATGGGATGAACTGAACCCTGAAAAAATCAGAAGAACCTACAGATTTGGCCATTTGTAGCCAAAGTGCATCCTATTTTATTCTGCATTGTAGCCAATGACTTTCAGATGTAAATAATTTCAGATTCATAAGATTTAAAATTTAGTAATCAGTCCTAAATCTATGGAATTGAATCTATGGTAAATGCTGCCATACTTGAACATAAATGTCCGCATTTTACTATTGATAATCAGTAAGCTTTATATATATATATTCAGTAATAAAATGATATTTCATATAATGTTGATGTCTCCATTCACTCCTATTTGTCTTTAACCATATTGTACGTTCTAAAAGACTGCAATCCTATATTCAGTTATGTGGAGGTAAGTCCCACTGAACTTAGTTCATCTTACTTCTGAGCAGACCTGCAAAGGCTTCCTACTTGTTCAATAATCTCTTTGGTATCAGTGTTATCACTAAAAGGAGAAAGGGACATTTTGATTGGTCAAATGAGACTGACATTGATTCACAAATATTATATAATATATATTTACACGCAATGCTGTCAATCAGTGTAAACAATACTGGGCTACATCAAGAAAGTGTCTGACCTGATGTAAGACAGTATCCTATGTTCCTATGTCTTTTTATTCTGGGACAGGCTGTTAAATTAACTTAGGAGCCTTTTCGTGAGAGATATTGTCAAAAGCTTCTTTGAAATTCAAGTATATAATGTCAACCATACCTACTCTATTAGATTTACATTTTTGTCTAAAAGGATTCTAAAAGGTGTGTTGGATAAGCCTTAACTATGCAATCCTTTTCATAGGTACTCAAAAATTGGTTCCACAGGAGTGAGTTCAGGTAAGAACTGCAGCTTTTGAATGCTTTCTACCAATTTACTTGGTAGCTGTTAGGCCAACAGGATATTATTTGAAGGCTCTTACAGCAGTCACTGCTCTGAAGCTAAGAGGGTCATTGCTAGGAGGGGAGACCACCTGGAACCATATATAACTACCTCGAGTCTCATAATAGAAGAAAGGTAGGGTTTCAATGTAGCAAATAAATAAATAAATAAATAAGCAAGGAAGCAAGCAGGTCTCCAATTGACAGTTTGCTAATTTGCAACCATTTGGTAAGGAAGATTTGATTCTTATTACTTTACTACAACCATCACTTTTAAATCAATTTCACATTTTCCTCCAGTCAGATATTTAACTGGGTGACTGTCACCTAAGCTTGGTGGTGATTTGTTAATGTTTTATATGTCTGCAAAAACTAAGGAAAGGATTATATGCTGTTGCTACATGAAGTTCAGGCACTGACATGTACAGGAACTATCCAATACTGTTTTAGATATTATAAGCTAACATATTACTTATGTTATATGCTATTACTTATGTTATAAGCTATTACTGTTAGCTTATAAGGGGAATGCCTGGTCAGACTGATGTCTTCAGAAATGAAAGAGACAGAGGTAGCCATAAGCTAAAGTAATCATGCAGTGTACACAGACTGTGGAATTGTTCTGAAGTCTAGTATTTAGTCTAGTACCCTAGTATTGGAGAAAAAAAACACTACTCTTGTTTCTAAAGTCCAAAGGTGTTTACAGAAAGCATTTAAGGAATAGAGGACAAAATATCAGGTATTATGAATCAGAATCACCTTCCCTAACATCAGCTGCAACCAGCATTGCCAGTGGTCAGAAATGCTTGGGGCTCTTGTCCAAACATCTGGAGGCATCAGGATGGGGAGGGCTGAATTAAAGACAGAGGTTATGATTCATCACTTTGTGATTCAGCCCACAACTCCTGCTTTTACAATATTATTTGTTTCAATTATGTACGCATTTTCCAGTCAACTATCCAATAAATGTCACAGGCATTGTTCAACTGATCTACCATCTTGGAAGAGGAGAACTTTCCATCGGAACTGATGAGATACAAAAGAATCTTTCTCCTGGGAGTTAAAACTGTTGCTGGAGGAGATCACAGCGGGGCACTTGCCAAAGGGGTTACTTATTATTAATATTAATATTAGTAGTAATAATAATTCTATTCCACCCATGGCCAAAGCTCTCTGGGTGGTTTGCAACATTTAAGTCACCCATCCAGATTTCAACCCAGCCCAACCCTACTTAACTTCCAAGACTAGGCAAGATCAAAGACTTCAGGCTATATGGAAGCTACAAAAGGAAATGGGAGGAGAGAGTGTTCTAGAGAACATAGAGGATGTTCTGAGAGTCCTTAGGGCAGAAGGGCAAATAAGACATGTTTCACATTATTAATCACAAATTATTTTTTACTCTGAGATCATGTGGATGTGCAGATATACTTTGGAACTCTTCATAATTAAAAAAATTCTACAGCCAAGGCTACAGTCTTACCTTGCAATAAGCACCACTGAACATAGCTGAATTTACCAGTGACAAACTAGGCACAGCATTGCTGTGTCAATGTAAGATGAGAACCAGAGAGTTGGGAATAATAGGGATTATTCACAAGAGCATGGCTTTGCCTAGTCCTTCAATTGGCATGCTGCCCAGCCGGTGACTTCACTGCACCCAGATGTTCATCCTAGGTAGAACTTAAATAGATCAAATCCTGCCAAGATACATGAACACGGAACCTGTTTCAGAACCAGGACTCAACCTGTGAGACAAGTCTGTTGACACAATTTGCCACTTTTCAACCCCCCCTTCGAACTGCTCTGTTCTGCGCCACCCTGCTGTAGGGCTGTCCTCTTTTCCATAAAAAAATCATGCATACCATAATAACGCCACAGCACATTTTAACGCCTGTAATTTCATGTCTTACCATGCTACTTTTCTGAACTGACAACAAAGTCAGCTGCTTATCTTTAAAACACTTTAAATTTCCCAGGGTTTTCCCTTAGGAAATAAGCCTTCTAACACCCGGTAAAGAAAGAGGGGCTTAAGCGCTCATCTGGAGAAGTAAACACAGGGGTGACATCGCATTTCAATCAATATTCCTACATGTCCTTGGCACAAGTTGCCATGGCTAAACTTAGCCCAAACTCCACTTAACTTACCATATAATTTATGAATGACCTTCTTGTGAAGCGTGCCTCTTAGCATACACATGAGTACCCTGCTGGCCTCTGAGCATATGCAAAGTGCACTACTACGCTGGAATAAGGAACGCAAACCCATCCTCCTTAATTGGTGGGATCACTAGACAACTCCAAGAAGCCTGTCGGTGAACTGGACGTGGGAACGGCGTGGCTGAGGAAGCCCTCCTTCCTCCACTGCGTCCTTCCTGGAGCCCCCGCGCAACGCGCGCCGCTCCCCGCGCAGCGCTGGCCGCGGGGGTCCAGAGGCGCCCTCCGCTCCCTCGACGGCGCCGCCAGCCCTCAGCCCCCGCGCCGCCGCGCCCGCTCACCTGCAGGTAGGGCTTGCCCCGCTCGATCCCGCCCACCACGATGTCCGCCGAAGTCATGGCCCCGGACGCGGAGAAGCCGAAGCCCACGTAGCCCTGCGTGCGCACCTCGACGAGGAAGGCGATGGCGCTGCCCTGGCGGGCCCACGAGAGCCGGTAGCGGGAAGCCCCGTCCAGCACGGCGCTGTGCGGGTAGCGGCGCCCGGGCACCCGCGGCAGGCCCCATAGGAGCAGCAGCACGAGCGGCGGCGGCCAGGCGCGCATCCTCTCCGCGGCGCAGAGGCCGAGCGGGCGCCAGCCCGCACCTCTCCGCTAGTCCGGGCAGCGCCTTCGACCGAGGCAGCGGCTGGTGCTGGTGCCGGTGCTGGTGCCGGTGCTGCTGCCGCCTTTTGGCGCCACCGCTAGTCGCTGCGCCTGCTAATGGGAGGGGGCGGGAACCGGGCAGCCCGCCCCTTCCACTAACTGTCTTCGAGGGCTGAGGCGAGGCGGGTGGGCTGGTCCCCGAGCACGCTCCGAGAACGACAGCGGCGGGCTCTCATTCGGGCGCAGCCCTTCGTAGAGTAGACCCATTGGAACGCATGGAGGCTCAGGGAGAGCAATTTCGGACGCAACCGGTCGAGCCGCCTGTCCTGTTCAGCCGCTGCTGCGAGACTCAGAAATTCGAGGGCGGAAACTTTCCCCAACTCCCTTTCTCCACGTTGAGGAAAACCTGCGCCGGTTTGACAGGAATCCTGCTGCGGGAGACGGGAGAGAGAAAGGGGCTATTGTGCTGCCTGCAGCGCAGCAGCTAACGGCGCCGTCGGTCCGATCAGGCTTCCCCGACCTGCCCGACCCAGGGCCAGGTCACGGTGCAAGGCAGCTGGCCAAATTATTTTGCAACCTGAGACCGAGAAGCCGCGAAGCGCTTCTCCCGGCACCTGGGGACAAAGCGGCAACAACAATCAGGGGAACCGCACACAATGCTTGGCCCTGTCATGATGCCCACGAACAGCTGTCCTGTTGCATGTGTCCGGCTTTGCCTAATTCAGCCTTTCCCAACCTGCCCTCATCCAAATGGGTGGCACTGTCTCTTCCCTGCCAGCCAAAGTCGTGTTCGCTGGGAATTATGGGAGATGCAGTGCAACACATCTGACAGGGACCTGGGAGGGGACACTATATGGGGAGAGAAGGGTAAGCAGGGCCCCGAACCAGCAAGCCTCATGCAGGCAACACCAGTCTACATGCTGCCTCCCCAGGTGGTCCAAGTGCCACAACGAAAATGGCAAAGCAAGACTGAATCTGCACTGGATTGTGCTGGAATCATTACACAAGATGTACAAGACGTTGCGCCCCTGCTTGCACCACTATCCTGCTTCAAGATAGGCTTGTTTGTTTCAAGGTGAACCGGTTCATCACACTTGTACACACAAGGGCTGCAGCAATCCTGTATGAATCCTTTCTTTGCTAGTCCATCCAGCATACTGTGTTTGGGCAAAATCAACATGAGTGATGGACGATCCAAAGACATGGCACCAATGTCTGCATGAAATAGGATCTCTTTCATTTGGTTCCCTGCACCCCCTCCCTGCCACTATCACCATCCAGACTGTTTAGCACAGCAAAGTGCTGAACGAGCTGCAGTCTGGACATGCTGGAGCATATCACATCCTCAGCAGGGTAGGAAAACAAGCTATTTGGATGGTTCATGCTATTGTATCTTGAAGGCTAAGGGCAGGTCACAGCACAGTGGCGATTCCAAAAGATTTAAATAAAAACACATGAAAAACCTTGACCACACATACACCATGCCAGGCATAATTCCCCACGTGTTTAGATAGAAGGAAGTCATACAACTCACTGCATTTCCTGTCTTGTGAAGGAATGCTAGCCGCTGCAGCACCTTTTTTCTGTCTAAATATGCATTGTGCCCTTAGTGGCTCATTAGATGCTGCTTCACCATAACATTTAACCACCTTGTCATACATGCAATGTTTTTTATCACCCTTTCTGTTCATATTTGTGGACAAAACTGGGAATTTCTCAGATAACTTTTTTCTCAGGAAAGTCTGGAGATGGTTGGTATTGTTGTTGTTTTGGCTGCCTAGCAATACAAAGCCACATTGCAGAATTTCCTGAAATTTTATTGCTGGTATTTTGATGGGTTTCACCTTCCTTCTCACCCTCCATCCACAATGTCCTAGATAGATGCTAGGTAGCAGGTACTCGTATTATACCATGATGCTGGGAATGATTGACAGCAAAAAGAAAAGGGGACGGCAGAGGATGAGGTGGCTAGATGGGGCAGTGGGTGTGGGCTTGGGTGGACTCCAGGAGATAGTGGAGGACAGGAGGAATGTTGTCCATGGGGCTGGGAAGGGTCAGGCACCACTTTGCCACTAAATGACAAAGTGGGTATTAAAGGTGATGCAAAATGGAGGCCTGGACACCAGCTCATTGACTTCTGTTGCCCCCTACAGTGACAGTAGAAACCCTTCCTCCACTGCTGCTAACTTCCAGCTCTGCCAGTGGCATTACTGCCTGGTGAGAAATTGTTGGAGAACTTCTCCTCCCTCTGGAGAAATTAAGTAAAATTGTGCCTCCAATTTCTCTGCCTGCAAATAGCACTGAGGATTTCAAGAGACCATTTATACATAGCTCTCATTTTAATGCCATGCTCTTATTGACCTTTTCAAATTGGGTGATAATGCTTTGTGTGTGCATGGGTGTGCTTTGAATCCCAGAAGGATGCAATTAAATGCTTTAAAATATATTCATTAGAATGACTAACAAAACAGAAATATTAATTTTATGAGGCAAGCTGTTTAAGCTTCCACCTTGTTTTGCTGAGCTGCTATGAATCAAGAGGACCTGGAACTGAGGTGGCAGTTTTATAACTGTTCTGATAGCTTTAGTCTTTTAGCTTATTTTATTATAAATCAGTTACTGAATCTTTGCACTGCTGCTAGGTTTTATTTGGTTATTATTTTATACTATAGTTTTAAACTGTTGAACTTTTAAATTTTATTTTATGGTGTTATATTTTATGATTGTGTTTGTGAATCATTCAGATAGCTTCAATTGTTGGGTGGCATGAAAATATAATAATAATGATAGTAATGATAATCAGAACAGCTGAAGAAGATTGAAGGTAAAATAGTTCATTTGAAGATTTTAGGATTTATGTTTTGTTAGTCACTCTAATATAACTGTTAGCTATATATACATTTCATCTGCTTGTTACTCATAGAGTCCCAGATGCACACACATAGAAACATAGAAACAGAGTGAGTCAGAAGGGGTCTCCCGGTCCATCTAGTCTGACCTCCGGCACCAGCCAGCTTCGCTCACGACATGCCCACCATGTGGACGTCCAGCCCATCCTTGAACACCCGCACCAATAGGGCCTCAACAACCTCCCGTGGAAGCCCCTTCCACGCCCTTGGGGTCCTGACAGTCAAGAAGTGCTTCCTGGCATCCAAATGGAACCTTGGCTCCCTGAGCTTTGCTCCATTGGAGCGTGTCCTGCCTTCCTCTGCAGGGGAGAACAGGCCTCTACCCATCTCCATGTGACATCCCCTCACATACCTGTATGTGGCCAACATATCCCCTCTGAGTCTCCTCTTCTCCAGGCTGAAGAGACCCAGTTCCCTCAGTCTCACCTCATACAGCATCCCCTGCAAACCGGCCACCAACCTTGTGGCCCTATGCTGCACTGACTCCAACCTGGCTATATCCTTTCTGTAATGAGGGGTCCAAAACTGAACACAATACTCCAGTTGCGGGTGCACCAGAGTAATGTAGAGTGGTAGTAATACCTCTCTCGATCTAGAAGCCACACTTCTGGCTATGCAGCCAAGGGTGGTGTTTGCCCTCTTGACCACCGCATCACACTGCTGACTCATGTTTAGCCTGCAGTCAACCAGTACCCCGAGGTCCCTTTCACAAGTGCTGCTCTCCAGCCACTTGTCACCTAACCTGTACTTATGACACCTATTCCTATGCCCCAAGTACAAGACCTTGCACTTATCCACATTGAATGCCATCCTGTTGTCTCCTGCCCACTTCCATAGTCTGTCCAGATTCTTTTGGATCTGGAGTACCTGCTCCTCACTTGTGGCCACTGCTCCAGTTTTAGTGTCATCTGCGAATTTGATCAGCAGACTGTTCACCCCTTCTTCCATGTCATTAATGAAAAGATTAAACAGGATCGAAACCCAGGACAGAGCCCTGGGGGACCCTGCTTGTCACTGGCCGCCATCCCGATGATTCCCCACTAATGATTACCTTCTGTTTTCGGTCAGTCAACCATGCCCTAATCCACCGGACAGTGCTTTGGTGTATCCCAAAACTCCTCAGTTTCTCCACCAGGATATCATGGGGCACTTTGTCAAAGGCCTTGCTGAAATCCAGGTATACCACATCCACTGCATCCCCTCCATCTAACCATCTCGAAACCTTGTCATAGAATTCCACAAGGTTTGTCTGGCAGGACCTGTTTTTGCGGAAGCTGTGTTGTGTGGCTGTCAGCCTCCTTTCCCTATCTAGCATCACTAGATCTCTCTCTGTTATGAGCCTTTCCATTGTTTTTCCTACAATGGATGTAAGGGTAACCGGTCTATAATTCCCCGTGTCCTTTCTACTACCCTTTTTGGAAATTGGGACCACTGATGCCACCCTCCAGTCCTCTGGAACTTCACCCGTTCTCCACAAGGTCTCAAAAATGGAGGCCAGCGGGCGTGAGAGAACCCCTGCCAACTCTCGGGTGTAACCCGTCAGGGCCTGGTGCCTTTGTAATGTCCAATGCCCTGAGGAGCCCCTCGACTTCAAGGGGGGTGACTCTAATCTGTGCCCCTAAGTCCCCAGCCTCATCTAATCTCCTATGCAGATATCCCCTGTCCTGCTTTGGGGAGAACACATAGGCAAAATAGTCATTTAGCATCAGTCACTGGATCTCAGTCATATCAGTCACTGGATCTCCTTCCTCCTTATTTAGTGGTCCCACCACTTGTCTCCCCTTCCTCTTCCTATTTACATGCTGAAAGAAGCCCTTTTTGTTGCTCTTGATATTCTTGGCAAGTCTCAGCTCGTAATCAGCCTTAGCCTTGCGAAGAATCCTTCTGCAACGGGCCTCCTCCTCACGGTATACCCTTTTGTCTATTTCCCCCAGTACCCATTTCCTACAGAGGTTCCTCTTTCGTCTAATCCCTCTAACCACCTCCTTTCGCATCCATGGCGGCACTCTCCTCCGCCTCCCCACCTTACTGACTAATGGCTCATTGATCATTGCCATGGCTTAGAGTTTTCATAAAGTGACACATCATAGTAATAAAATTATCTTTGAGTGCCAGGTGTAATGCTTCAATGTGCCAGATGCTTACAAGTGCCAGATGCTTGCAAGTTACAAAGGTCTGTGATACTGCT